TCTATTTCTTTATCTTATATATGTTCTTCATTATTTATCATTCAAACATAATTTTCTTGTTTAAATATAAAGGTATGAAGTACGAGAAGAATTTTATGTTACATATGAAGATTAAATTTTAGTGTAAAAATTAATTTAGATTTATTCTAACTATAAATTAAAAAAAAAATTAACTAAAACTAAAGTGATACATTTTATAAATTTAATGTGCAGTTTAATTTGAAAAGCATATTATATTTTGACTAGTCATTTATTCGGAAGTGGATTCCACTTGCATGCCATGTTAGCCCCGCAATGGCCATGTTAGCCCCGCAATGGCCATGCAATTAATCTTGCTTGTCACTTGTCAGCAACAGGACTTGTCTATTTTCTTCGCGACAATTAGATTGCGAACTTTCTCTTCCAAAAGCAATTAATCTAATTGGATTACCAAAGAATTGACTTGCTTACCGCCCCATGACTTTCATCACGGCGAACACATGGAGCTTCTTCATCATGCTTTAAAAATGACTCTAATTTTATCATCATGCAAGAGATGAGATGGATAAATTCTTATGTAAAATAATGGATTAATTTCTTGAAACTTTCTATGTATGAGTTAAAGTATCAATTCCTCCGTTAAAAAAAAGTTAAAATATCAGATCTACCCCTTTTTAACATAATTCTTTTTTTTATTGCCCAATTGATCAAACAACTACTTTAAGAAAAAAATGCATATGGTCCAAATTCAAAATCAATTTTATTTGATTTTGCCGGCCAAAGTTGAAGGATTTTTGATAGTGACTAACGCGTGGTATTTTAATTCATGTGGTTGAAACTTGAAAAATTAGTTAACATTTCTTGAAGGAAGGATATACAAAGGTTGCCAACGACTTAAATAATTCAGTGGTAATCTCCTTTAGCTAAAAATAAGAGATCTTGAGTTTGAATCGCATGATATGCGAATATGATGAGATAAAGGATGAGAAAGGATTGCTTCCTATTGTACAACTAACATTAAAAAAAAAAAAAAGATATACAAAGGTTTTATTACTATTTTTTTTTAATTTTAGATTGCATAATAGAAGAAAATCCTCTTTCATCCCTTAATCCACCTTATTTACATGATATATGACTCAAATTCAGAATCTTTTTCTTCTAATAAAAGAATATTACCACTAAATTATTTAGATTGTTAGCATTTAATTCTTTTTCTTATGATTCTATATAATACACGTAAATATCAATTTATCGATTGTACCTTAATTAATGATAATCAACTCAATGAGGAACACCTATATTTGAACTGCAACCGAATATGCTCACCCTTGGAGAGTTGAAGGGAGAATAGAGATACGGACCAAGGTGGGGGAGGTTGTGTATGTTCTTCAAACAAAATTCATTCATAGTGAGAGAGAATATAATTTGGTTGCTTAACATCCTAATTCTTTCAAGAGAAACAAATATAGGAAAAATTTCATCAAGTTATTATTAATTAAAAGGAGGATGTATGAAGGATACCCAACCACTCCCAAAGAAACAAAACATTTTTTAGGAGAGAAATGATTGGGACGCACTTAGTTCAATATATTTTTTTATACTTGTTTGATTTAACTATTACAATATAATATAAGTAATTAAGCGTAACCCAATGTAGATGGTTTTTACATCATGTATATATGGTTGCATCTTTAAATTTGTTTACTATTAATTTCATAGCAAAAAATAATTTTTTATAAATATATTATACAATGTGTTAAGTCAAAATATATATTAATTAATATCATTTTCAAAAAAAAAAGACTAATATACATTCGATTCAACACATTTTTTAACACTTGTCTTAATTTAATTATTAGAATATAATATAAGTTTAGTTGGTTCTTGCATCTTTAAATTTGTCTCTTATTAGTTTCAAACAAAAAATAATAATTTTTTATGAATGTGTTATAGAATATATTAAATTAGAATGTGTACTAATTAGTAATTACCATCATTATATAAAAAATAAACTGCCCTAAAATCAAAATTAATTAGTAACCGTTCGTCTTTTTGACCAAACAGCTTATAAAATGCAGGCACATTTTGCAGTCCTTACCACCCCTAGGCAGTTGGCCCATCCGATCAAAGAAAAAAGTACAACCTTATCTCATAATCAGTTTCATAATCTACTTACAATTCATACTAGTTGTATTCGAATTAATTCGTTTATTGGTGGCCTTCATGATTCAATGAAGTATATTATCTGGTTATCACATGATCATGACGTCACCGTTCGTGATTGATTTGGAATATTTGCACCATATATGACTGGAAAATTTTCTCCATAAAAGGACAGCTGGCTCTCGTTACTGCTTTATCTCACTCTCATTTTGTGCCCAAAAGATCTAGAGCCTGCTAAGAGGGGTCTGGTTGCCATGGGGGATATTGTTTTGACCAGAGTTCTACCTGGTAGTTCTATAAACACTGGTGTACTTAGTGTCTCAAATAGGTTTGATGTCGAACGCATGCCTACAATTGAAGAGGGACATAAGTCAGTAGTGCTGGAGGCAAGAGATGCTCGTCAAGAAGGCCTCATCCATCGTTTCTACTTTAGAAGGAGGGCGGATGGAACCAAGCAAACTCTAACAGGTATGAAGCAATTCTTTGACCTTCATGGATTGCAAGCTGGTGATCGAATTACGATCTATCTTGTGCGAAAAGAAGTGAAGTTGTTTGGAAGAGTCATTCGCCCCGCACTTCATTCAATTGATTTTGAGAGGGGGCCCCTAGCCTAATTAAATAGGTATGTTTAGATTGGAATGTTCTTTATATATATATCAATGTATATTTTTGTAATTTCAACAGGGTAATTCAACGATTAAAAGTTTAAAATTTTAAGTTTGTAACTTTAAATTCAACTCTTGAATCTAATAAGGAGAGATTTGAAATAAGAAAAAATTATTTTTTTTGTATAACTTCTAATCAAATATATAATAAAAAAAATCAATGTATATCTTTATATATTGAATTCTCTTTTTTTCTATTAAATCTATTATAAATTGTAAAAAAAAAAGAAAAAAACACTTGAATATGAAATAATCTTCATCTAGAGGTCGGGATTGTATTAAACATTTTTATTATTTATCTTCTTCTTTGAAAATAAGCTGCTTTGATCGGAATCATTTTGTTTTTTTTTTTTTTGATGAATCAAAGTATGTATTATCATACGGAGTACAAGGGGTACTCCACCCATAGTCACAAAACGCCTTACAGGATAATAATAGATAAGGCACTCAAAATCAAATCAAGAAGGAAAGTCTTAGTGCCTAAACAAAACTAACTTCTAGTAATTTCTTGAACACATAGACTAGGGGAATTACACCAGTGAAAAAAAGAGAACATGGAGTTTTTAGTCTTCCCCCTTATCCATGCAAAAGTCCTCCTTTGAATTAAATCAAAAGCCTTACCCTCATCCCACTTTTGTGCGTTATGAATGATAGAGTTTCTCATATACCATATGGACCAAGTGATCACCAAGAAAATGAGAAACCAAACATCAGATTTTACCACCTTTTTGATCCCAAAGCTGATCGGAATCATTTTGTTATTCCGTGTGGATGCAGAATATTGTTTCTATTACAGTGGCGTGTTGGTTTTGTTTAAATGCTTTCTGTCGATAAGTAAAAGAAGAAAGAAGGGACCTAGGTGCATGGTCGATAAAATGGTCGGTCCTGTTGCAACATACATTTCGATAATTCGATGTCGAATGTTCTTTTGTCTTTACTTTTTGTTTTCATGAAAATTAATTAATTAAACTTCAACAAGAAAATAGGTCCCGCATATTAAATGATACTACGGTAATTAACTTTATTTCCAAAAAATTATCTTCCATCTTTGCCCCTAACTCTCATTCTTCTGGCAATCGACTACATATTTTTAATTCCTTCTTCCCTTGATGAATCTGAAGTGATGAAATTTGTAATATCGAAAAGAGACTTCTTTGGGTGAACATCAGTGGAAAATGAGGAAAATAGGAAGCAATATTTTTATTTATTAGTGATTTGGTATAAAAAATTATTTAAGGTATTTTTTAAAAATTTATTAGTGATTTAAACCTTAATTTCTATTTGTTATTCTTAAACTATTAAATAAAATTTTTTATCAAATATTTAGTTTTTAACTATTTCATAGGTATTTAATGATTTTTAAAATTCTTTGAAAAAAATTAAATATATTAAAAATAAAAAATTTTAATAATTTAATAATTAATTAAAATAAAAAAATATACTCCTAATAATTGAGTGTGTGAGTATAATATCACCTTAGATTATTATTGGTTTATATATCATGTGCCTTTAAGGAATATTAATTATATAACAATTGTTATTTTTTGTCTTTAAAAAAATGGAGTTAATTTTTTATTTTAATTGTAAATGCCATGTATTAAATTATATTGCTTGATTTTAAATTAAAAATCAGAAGTTATTTTTTAATATAAAATTTTACTTTTTTAAAAAAAGTCATAATTATTATATAAGAATAACTTTTTATCTTGTATTATAAGGGTATAGAATAGATAAACTCCATTACTATTATTAAGAGTAGTATATTAAATAATGGATCAATAGGACCTCCCCAATTTATATTAAAAACAAAAGGATTTATTTAATTTGTACCCTAAGATAACAAGTTAAGGATATAATTATTGTATTATTTTTACATTAATTATAATTAAAAAAACAAAAATTATCATTGATTTCATCACTAGTATTATGTAATTTTAATTAAATAATTACTTAAATAAAAATTAATTTTTATTTTTAATAATAATTAATCAAAAATATAATAATTATATCATTAATTTATACCTTAGGAACAGATTTAAAAAATCCAATACAGAAAGGCATCTGGTAGACATATTCTGGACGTAACATATGGATGGTACACCGATTATGCAGTCAAAGTTTTACTTTCTTCATTGGTGGAAATCCACGCATTTAATGACCCAAGAAAATACCCCAGTCAACGTGGGGCTGTGGCCACAAAAGATAAGAGCCGCTTTTCTTGCTTTTTTTTTTTTTTTTTTTTTTTTTTTTTGTAGAAATAATTTTTTTTAGTAAAATTTTAACAACACACAAATAAAACATTAAGGATTAAATTATTAAAAAATAAATATTATTTTATAAATTAAATTTAAAAATTAAGTATTAAGATTAATGTACTAAATTAATGAATTATAACACTCCTGTGAGGAGAAACCAGCTACCTTGACATCCCACATGATAAGAAGAAACAAAAATTCTATGCAGCTGCGCGTGGGGCCACGGTCCCCCATCAAGCTAGCTAGCTGGATTCTCCGCACGGCTGGGAGTGTTGTAAGTTGTAACCACTGTTGTCAATTCTGTACTGTACCAGTCGCAGCGATTGGTACATATTGATTTTTTTAAATTGAAACAGTATAAAATTTAATTTTATTTTGATCAAATTTTATTTATTTTGGTTAAATTTTATTTATTTCGATCAAATTTTGATGTACCGATCAATATTTCTACGTATCGATCTTTAATTTAAATTTAATATCAAAAATGGGTATGCACAAATGAATTTAAATTTAAAAATGATAAATTTCATTTCTGATCCTCAACTTTAATATTTTGCATAATTTTTATCTTTTCACTTTGTATTTTTTTAGTTCATCAACTATGAAAATTGCTTTTTTTTTAATCAATTCAAAGTCAATGTTTTGTATAATATTAAACTCAGAATACTATTATACTTTCTAATATTATTTTAATGTTAAAAAATATATATATAGATGTTTTATAAAATTGGCTATTTTAAATTTGTTTTTAGTTCAAGCAGAATACCAAAGTTTACCCCCAAAGTATAGTGGTAGGGACGGATTCACCTCGAACAAAAAAATAGGGATAAATCCACTGACAAAATTTTCGACTTGGAAAAATCATCTCAAATTTAATATGTGATGTCATTTGACATTAGTAATCTGTTAATTTGACGTCAACAATCCGTTAACGAATTAATGGATTATTGATATTAAATGATGACATACGTTAAATTTGGGGTGATTTATTCAAGTCGAAAACTTTGTAGGTGAATTTATCCCCGTTTTTTGTTCGGAGGTGGATTTGTTCCTTCTACTATACTTTTGGAGGTGAATTTGAGTATTTTGCCTTCAATTTATAAGAATATGATGGTTTTAAAAATTAGTTTTTTTAATCATTATTTTAAAATTTGATATTTAATTTATAAAAATATATATTTATAGCGATAAATCTAAAACAGTACACAAAAAATTTTAGTATCCATTACGTCCCGTTCCAATAGCAAAACTAATACGTACTATTCTAGTAGTAAAATCGATTTGTATGTCGATACGGTACTGACAACTTTGGTTCTAACACTTCAACGCAACACATGCTTTTGCATGGTCAAACATTGCGTAGGTGTGGGTCCTTGTCATTTATTGGTCCATATTTTCTTACCACATTAAGGATATGAAAAAGATTGACGGAAAGGGTATTTTAACTCATATACTTTTTAATATTGTTGAGATTAATCCTGTAATTTTTTTTTGGAATATTTGAATATCGTCACTTATATATTGAAATAAATTAATACATTTATTTTTCAATTGAAATAAATAAGTCAAAATCTAACATATGACGTCATAAAATGTTAGTTTACTGTGAAAACCAATTTTTACTATTAATACATTACTGACTTGATACATGTGGGAGTCAATTTAGTGACATGATATGATATGGACTATTTTTTTGCTGTTGCTGACATAGCCCTAATTTGTTGAGCAGGACTACTTATTTTCCCAAAACTTCACCCGCTGGAAAGCTTCCGCCATTATAGCAAAGATCCAAACAGGCCCCAAAAACAAAACAAAAACAAAAACAAAGACAGAAACACTCAGTTCTTCCATTTTTTCACTCTTTTTGATGAATGCTCTTTTCCATCGCCAAAAGAGAGGGTCAAGGATAAGTTAAAATCATCGATTTGTTGTTTTCGTACGACAGATCACGGCGAGGCAACGACGATAGACCTAGACGAGTTGAAGCCGAGGACGCTGCGGTCGCTGGACACTTGGCTGAAATTGACGACACATTAACTGGAGATCAAGGACAGGTGCAAGAATCTGATCGCCATAATCAAGAAGCAAGGAGGTCGCAGGCAGCACAGTTCGTCCGATTTCAACTACGATCCCCTGAGCTACTCGTGAACTTTCGAGGACGAAACGAACTAGGCAAACGAGATGCCAGTCATTAGCTTCTCATCCCAGCCTCGCGCCTCGTCAGAGCGGATCATTGGGACCAACTGCCAAAATGAGCCTTCTGTGTCGGCAACGAGGGAGATTGTTCTGTACAGTTGACGAGCACAGATTCATTCGGTTTATTCAACTAATCAAAAAATATTTAGAAAATTGGAGGAATATTGTAATCATCGGATCAGACATCGGAATAATAAATCCGGCTCTTAAAACTCCATTTTTTCTCTGTATCATTCAAGAAATCAAAAGCTCGAATTTTTACGATTTCCAGTACATTTTCTCACCCAATTTCCAAACCCTAGCTTCCTTTCTCTCTTCCTCTTTCTGGGTTTTTGAGGGTTTTCTCATTTTTCTTTTCTCTGGAAAGAAAAAGAACCCAGAAGCGCACTGAGTACGGTGTTTGATTATGTGGTTTTTTCTTGGATTGTTCGATAGAGGACAGGGAATTTTTTTGGGGATTTTGTTTTTGGTTTTGTAAGCTTGTTTGGTGTTTTGAAGGGCACAAGAAGATTGGGTTTTCAATGGAGGCTAGAACAAGAATCGAATACTGACATTTTGAAGGCAAAAATGGATTTCACAGAAGGAGAAAAACCAAGATCC